GTTTTTCAAAAGAGGAAATACAAAGGGGCAACACACACATGAAAAAATGCTCAGGATCACTAGTTGTCAGGGAAATGCAAATCAAAACCACAATGAAGTTTCACCTCACCCCAGTTAGAATTGCCTTCATACAGAAATCAACAAATAACAAATGCTGGTGAAGATGTGGAGAAAAAGGTACCATAATCCACTGTTGGTAGGAATGTAAACTTGTAAAACCATTATGAAAGACAATTTGGCCAGCACCGCGGCTCAATAGGCTAATCCTCCACCTTGCAGCGCTGGCACACTGGGTTCTAGTCCCGGTCAGGGTGCCGGATTCTGTCCCCGTTGCCCCTCTTCCAGGCCAGCTCTCTGCTATGGCCAGGGAGTGCAGTGGAGGATGGCCCAAGTACTTGGGCCCTGCACCCCATGGGAGACCAGGATAAGTACCTGGCTCCTGGCTTCAGATCAGTGCGGTGCGCCAGCCACAGCGCGCTGGCCGCGGCGGCCATTGGAGGGTGAACCAACGGCAAAGGAAGACCTTTCTCTCTGTCTCTCTCACTGTCCACTCTGCTTGTCAAAAAAATTTTAAAAAGACAGTTTGGAGATACCTCAGAAATCTGAATATTGTCCTACCATATGACTCAACCATCCTACTCCTCAGAATTCAACCAAGTGAAATGAAATCAGCAAATAAAATAACTATCTGCTCCCCTAAGTTTACTGCAGCTTGGTTAACAATAACTAAAACATGGAATCAATCTAAATGTCCATCAGCTGAAGACTGGATTAAGAAATTAAGGGATATTTACTCCATAAAATACTACACAGCAGTAAAAAATGAAATCTGGTCATTTGCAACAAAATAGATGAATCTAGAAAACATCATACATAGTGAAATAAGCCAAAGGGACAAATACCATATGTTCTCCTGGTCTGTGATAACTAACAGAACACTAAAAGGAAACCTGAAAAAGCAAAACTGACACTTTGAGAAGCAATGAATTGAACAGCCCTTGTTGTGACTGTTGAGGAACACTTATATTTTTCTTTTCTTTTTTTCTTTCTTAATATCACTGGTTGAATTCTTTATCTAACAAAGTTAATCGTATATGTATAAAGTCAATTGAAAAACAGATCTTGGTAAAAAATAAGAGTGGGGATAAGAAAGGGAGGAGACATCTTATAACTGTAAAGCTCTATAATTCTGCATAAATACCTAAGGACTTAATTCTAAGAGTACAGTGTAAAAAATTTCCCATGGATTTTTTTTTTTTTTTTTTTTTTTTTTGGGGAGAGTGTCTTGGCTTTCCATGCCTGAAATACTCTCATGGGCTTTTCAGCCAGATCCGAATGCCTTTAGGGCTGATTCTGAGGCCAGAGTGCTGTTTAGGATATCCGCCATTCTAGGAGTCTGCTGAGTATCTCACTTCCCATGTTGGATCACTCTCCCCTTTATTTATTCTATCGGTTAGTATTAGCAGGTACTAGACTTGTTTATGTGCTTCCTTTGACTCTTAGTCCTTTCATTATGATCAATTGTGAACTGAAATTGATCACTTGGACTGGTGAGATGGCATTGGTACATGCCACCTTGATGGGATTAAATTGGAGTCCCCTGGTATGTTTCTAACTCTACCATTTGGGGCAAGTCAGCTTGAGAATGTCCCAAATTGTAAATCTCTTCCCTCTCTTATTCCTACTCTTATGTTTAACAGGGATCACATTTCAGTTAAATTTCAACACTTAAGAATAACTGTGTATTAATTACAGAATTAAACAAACCCTAAATGAAAGATCTCTGTGAGTGAGATCCCAGTGGAAAGAACAGGTCTTCAAAGAAGGAGGTACCTTTCTCTGAAGGGAGGAGAGAACCTCCACTTTGACTATGACCTTGTCTAAACAAGATAAGAGTCGGTGAACTCAAAAGGCTTCCATAGCCTTGGAAACTCATGACTGGAGCCTAAGGAGATTACTGATGCCATAAACAGGAGTGTCAATTTGTAAAGTCAACAACAGGAGTCACTGTGCACTTACTCCTCATGTAGGATCTCTGTCCTTAATGTGCTGTACATTGAGACTTAATGCTATAATGAGTACTCAAACAGTATATTTCGCTTTGTGTTTCTATGGGGGTGCAAACTGTTGAAATCTTTACTTAATGTATACTAAACTGATCCTCTGTAAAAAAAAAAAAAGAAGAAGAAGAAGAAATTATCAATTCCCAACTTGACTCTCACTGGGATTAAACATGACAATAGTTCTGATCTGATTTAATCATCATTTAAAAATCATCTATTATTTTTCACTTTATGTTTGTGTGGGAGCAAACTGTTGAAATCTTTACTTAATGTATGCTAAACTGATCTTCTGTATATAAAGAGAATCGAAAATGAATCCTCATGTGAATGCAAGGGGAGAGGGAGTGGGAAAGGGGAGGGATGCGGGTGGGAGAGACGATATGGGGGGGAAGCCATTGTAATCCATAAGCCGTACTTTGGAAATTTATATTCATTAAATAAAAGTTAAAAAAAAATAAAATAAAATAATTAAATCTTTAAAAAAAACTTCCCATGAAACCTCGAATCCCATTAATCTGAGTGGTAAAATTGTCATACTAAGTATTAAACTGACCATATTAAGTGTCAAAGTGATCATATATTTAGGATTATGTGTTAAATGGATCATACAAATACGATCAAGTATCTACTAATAATAACAAAGAAATAAAAAGGAGAAAATATTCTAATATGGGAAGTAGTCCACACAACAGACTCATAGAATGACAATCACTTTAAATAGCTTGCTGACCTCAGAATCAACCCTTAAGGCATTTTGGTCTGGCTGAAAGCCCATGAGAGCATTTCAGGCATGGAAAGCCATGTGGCCAAAAAAAGAAATGCCCTACATGAAGGATCTCTGTGAGTGAGACCCCAGTGGAAAGAAGGGGCCACCAAAAATAATGTACTTTTCTCTGAAGGGAGGAGAGAACTTATATTTTGCCTATGGCCTTGCCTAAATACTGACAGAGACTGTGGACTCAAAATGTTTCTGTAGCCTTAGCAGCTCATGACAATATCCTCAGGTGATCACTTATGTCACACATAAGAGTGTTAATTGTTAATTTAACAGCAGGAGTCACTGTGCACTTAACTTTCCATGTAGGACCTCTGTCATAAATGAGTTGTACTATGAGATTTAACTGTAAAACTTGTTCTCAGTTTTTATATTTTGTGTGTGTATGTGTGTGCAAATAGTTGAAATCTTTATTTAGTATAGAGTTAGTCTTCTATGTATAAAGTTAATTGAAAATGAATATTAATGGAGAATAGGACTTAGAAGGGGAGAGAGAGGAGGAAGTGGAGAGGGAGTGTGGGTTGGAGGGCAAGTATGGTGGGAAGAAACACTATATTCCTAAAGATGTACTTTTTAAATTTAAACTCATTAAATAAAAGGTTTCTAAAAAGAAGATATACTTGATATAAAATGTATATTATTTCTTCATATAATTTTCTCTTTACACTCCTCTTTCTCGTGTCTTTTTCTTCTTTTATCTGCTCAGGATTTCTTTGACTCTTCTGTCATTGACCCTGACAGTACTGACCATACAATCTATCTCTTGTGCTCCTTATCTCTTTCAGATTGACAGTGGATCAGTGAACGTCGTGCAATTGTCTTCACCTGGTGTTACTTATCTGCTCACAGAACCTTCCTAAGCCAGGTAGTACTGATTCTATCAGAAAACTCTAAAGAGAAAATTGTGTATTCCTTATCTCTAGCATTCTCCAATCTTAGAAATTGGGTTCATCAACATCTTTTCCAAGTTGTTAGTGAATTTAAAATTAGACCACTTTAGTCCATGGAGCTAAACATGAGGAAATGGAGAATGACAGGATCCCTTAAAGCTCCTGGAAAAAGGAGGGTCTCAGCTTGCTTGATGACTACTGTGCTTCCCTTTCTTCTATATAATACATAAAACCTCTTTTACCTTTTATAAATGATGCCTGAATATTTTTCCCAGAAATCGTCTTCCTCTACTGGAAAACCCCTGTAAATGGTATTATAAGCTGCCAGTCAATTTTATTATTATTTTCTGAGACAATAGCATTTCTCCATTAAATCCTCAGAAATAACTCAGGAGAATTATTAGCTCTATAATAGATTCCCATGGTGTGTGCTACTCTTCTATTATCATACATGTTTGCTGCTAATGGGATTCTGTGCTCCATGCCAAACTTTCTTACGTGATGTTACATTTTTTTAAAACCATAAAATTATGAATAACATATTCCACTTGTACTTTCAAGAAACTAATTTCCTCCTAAAGGAGAACCTTGGGGAAATATTCTGGTGAACAAAATAATTCATTTCCTAAATGTTTAAGTGCATTTAAAAAGAAAAGTTGCCACCATATTCAACTTTTAAATAAAAAACTTACATTGTCAAAAAGGAGCATTTAATTCCAAATATAAAGAGGCTTATATATTGAAGGGGAACATGTTTGTGCTATTACCAAAAGCCATCTAATAACTGGAAATGAATAGGTACTCTGAAGTTCATTTGCTTCTTTGGTAAGTGAACAATGGAGATTGAGGGAATTCACCAACAAGGCAAAAGCATTGATTCGATGGTGTTGTAATATTATCTAAAATAATCAATATTATTCAAAGGAATTACCTATATGGTTTATAGCCCATATGCATTTAAGAAATTAAGTTACACTTCAGGAAAATAACCATCATTCATCCAAATCCTTTAAAAGTTAACTGGTTAGATCATCTTCACTTCCTCAATAAAAATGAAATAGGATTTCATTTTCTCGAGTTTAATGCTATTATAAAATTTTAAAGGGGAAGAGTACTGCTAAGAACCATCAATTCTAACTCCTAACTCTTTTATGCTGGAATTTGTGATCAAAGACTAAACTAAAGTTTCTTTTTGCTCTATAGTAATGATGATGTTCATGGTCTAGTTCTTTACAGCTCTACAAAGACTTCTACATAGATTATCTCCTTTATTTCTTAAACAATTTTAGAAACATGATCATTTAGGGGCCAGCATTGTGGTATAGCGGGTACAGCCACTGCTTGCAACACCAGCATTCCATATGGGCGCCGATTCGTGTCCTAGTTACTCCACTTCTTATTCAGCTTCTTGTTAATGACCTGAGAAAGCAATAAAAGATGGCTCAAGTACTTGGGTCCACGCTACCCACGTGGGAGACAAGTAAAATAAATTTACCCCAATAGAGAATAAAAATAATTATTACAAAATAACATAATGTCAGTAACTTAAGAAGAGCACAACTCTGCTCTTCTTATGTCCACAACATTCAACAAATTATCAACACGTTATTAGGATGTTTGAATGAATGGAAAACATGATCTGCATTGAAGGGCAAAAAGAGTCAAAATCCAGAGTGGAATCATCATGCTTAAGATTCAATGCAATGATTTTAAATGTTTTCAACTACTTCAAAACATATTTATAATGAAGCAATATATGAGACTATCAGCAGCAAAATGGAAACTTGAGGATTGAGTGAGTTTAAAACCAAATAAAAGATAATATAAGAAAAAGAAACTACAGGCCAGTATCTCTCATTGGCAGGGCTGCAAAAACTGTTAGCAAATTATTAACAAGTTGAATCCAGTGATGCATAAAAACATCAAGTGGGACTATTCAAGGTATGCAATGCTGGTTTAATATTCAAAAGCCAATTAATGTAACCTATACACCTTTTGGCTAAGAAAGAAAAATCATACTATCTTATCCATAGATGCATAAAAGGCATTTGACAAAATCCAACATTCATTTACGATACAATCTGTCAGTAAACTAGGTAATTGAGGAACTTCTTTAACATGATCAACAATGTAAACATAAAACATAAAACATGATATCTAATGGTGACAAACTTGAAACTTTTCCCCTAAGTACAGTAACAAGGAAAGAATGTTATCTTACTACACTTTTTCAATATCATATTAGAAATATTAGTAATATCAGTAAGACCAAAAAAAAAGTTAAGATTATGCAAATCAAGAATGCAGAAATACAGCTTTCTATGTTCACAGATGGCCTGACAGTCTATTCTGAAAATCAACAAAATCAACAAAAATATTGTGGGACTAATAACCAAGTAGAGCTAACACACAGGCTAGTCAGCACTCTTATTCACTCCCCAAATACCAGGACTGTTGTGGCTGGGTCAGGCCACAGAAAATAGCTAAGAGTTCCATCCAGGTCTCCACAGGGTGGCAGGGACACAAGGACTAGAGCCATTGCCTGCTGCCTTCCAGGATGCACACCAGCAGGAAGCTGGAGCAAGAAGCAGAGCTGGGACTCGAAACCAGGACAATTACTTCACATGTAAATGGACTAAACTCAAGAATAATCTACTGGGAGACTGAAAGGACAAAATGTATGAACTACTAGACAGGAACAAAATATGAAGGAACCTAAGAGAAAGAAGGCAACTTGAAAACACTATATCAAATGATTCCAAATATATGATATTCTGAAGAAGGCAAGGCAATGGATTCTCTAAAATCAGAACAAATTTAATTTTTTTCAAGTTTATAGAAATCTATCAACAAAGTGAATTGTATCTGTCTTTTCAGTTCTTCAGAAATGAAGGAAAATTAAGACAGATAAAAATTCAGGGTTTTCATTTCAAGCAGAATTTACAAGAAATGCTAAAAGGAGTCTTAAAGTGGAAATAGAAACAGCACTGATTAGAAAGGTGAGGACATGGGAAAGTATAAAACTACTGGTAAAATTAGTACAAAGACAATATCTGTATATTCTAATGTTGCATAATTGGTCCCTAAGTCAGCCATAACTTTAGTATGAAGGTTAAAGGAAAACACTATTAAAATAATAATAGCTATAATCATTTATTAAGGAATATGCAATATAAAAAGATGTAAAATGTGAAATCAAAAATTTTAAATGTGTGAGAAGTGGTGAGGTAAAAATGTAATTTTATATATGATCAAAGTTAAGTTGTTATCAGTTTAAAATAGATAATTACAAGATTTTTTCTAAGACTCATGATAACAATAAAGAAAAAATATAGTAAGATATTAGTTTTTTAATTACTACATTTTAAAAATACCGGAGTGAAGCTACGTAATTAGGGATAAGTTTTATTTTAACTCATAGTTTTTGCAGGCTCACAGACTAAGACTGGGAAGTCTCATTAACTGGGTAATCCATGGGCCAGAGGATGGCAGATGAATGATCACATGGTGAGCCAAGAAGCAGAGGGCCAAACCCAGCTTAAATAACCACCCCAATCTGTGGAACCCCCTCCCAAAAGCATTCTCCTCAACGGCCTCTCACAAGGTCCACCTCTTTAGATGCTATAATTGGATCAAGTGTCCATTAACCATTAATATTAATCCACTACACATTAGCCTAAGACTTTAGGGACCAAGCTCCTAAAACACAGGCCTGTGGCGGAATACCCAAGCTATTCAAACTAAAACAAGGGGATAGACAAAAGACAAAAAGTAAGGAATGAAACATTCCACTAGATAAAATTACCTAACTACAAAGAATATGCAACAAGTACAGATATAGGAACATAAGATCTAAGACAGATTCAGAAAACATTAACAAAATAAGACCAGTAAGTAGTTACATATCAGTAATTACCTTCAACATAAATGGATTAAATCCTCCAATCAAGGGGGCATAGCAGGTTAAGTTGCCAACTGGGACACTGGCTGCTCCACTTTCAATCAGCTCCTTGCTAATTAGCCTGCCTGGGGAAGCAGCTGAAGATGGTCCAAGTCCCTGTGCCGTTGCGTGCATGTAAGAGACCCGGATGAAGTGACAGGCTACTGGCTTCAGCCTGGCCGAGTTTTGGCCATTGCAGCCATTTGGGGAATGAGCCAGTGGATGGAAGATTCTCTCCTTACCTCCCTCACTCCCTCCCTCCTTCTTTGATTTTCAGATAAAATTAATAAATCTGAAAAGCCCTCCAATCAAAAGACAAAGCATGTCAAAATGGGCAACAAAGTAAGACGCAGCTGTATGTTGCCAAGAACACTCGCCTTACTCACAGACTGAAAGTGGGGAAGATATTCCATGGAATTCCAATGGAAACCCAAAGAGAGCAAAAATAACTACACTTATACCAGATAAAACAGGCTTCAAATTAAAAAAGAAAAAAAAACTATAAAGGATACATAACTATATAATTATAAAGGGATCAATTCATTAAGAAAATTTATCATCATTAAAAAAGGGCGTTGGGGAGGTCAGCAGGTTAAGAATCCCAGTTGCAGGGCTGGCAATAATCAGTTAAGTCACAGCCTGCAGTGCTGGCATCCCATACAGGCACTGGTTCGAGTCCCAGCTGCTCCTCTTTTGATCCAGCTAATGTACCTGGGAAACCAGTAGAAGACGGCCCAAGTGTTTGGGCCCCTATACCCATGCAGATGACCTGTCTCTCCTTCCCTGTCTATAACTCCATCTTTCAAATAAATAAAATAAATCTTAAAAAAAAAAAAAGGAATCCTGGTTGCTTTGCATCTGAAACAGTTTCCTGCTAATGTACCTGGGAAGGCAGAGGATAATGGCTCCTGGCCCCTGGCTTTGCCTGACCCTGACCTGGCTGCTGCTGTCTTTTGGGGAGTAAACCAGTGTATGGAAGAACTCTGTCTTTTCCTCTCCTTCTTACTGTCTCTTTCCTCTTCTTCCCTTCTCTCTCCCTTCAACATTCACTCCCTCTCTTCACCTTTCTAAAATTCAACTAAATAAATAATCTTTAAAAAAAGAATATCAGTTCTGTGTGTGTGTGTGTGTGTGTGTGTATCTCCAAAATCAAGACACTGCAAATATACAGTGGGAATACTAATAAATTTGAAGGGACAGATATACTAAGACAATAGTAGTTGAGGACTTCAATACAAAAGTTTTAGCAGAAGGTAAATTATCCAGATAGAGAACCAGTAATAAAATGCTGGACTTAAACTACACATTAGGTGCTAGCACTGTGGCATAGTGGGATAAGCTGCCACTTGTGATAATGGCATCTCATATCAGAGTGCTGGTTTGAGACTGGGCAGCTCAGCTGCCAACACAGCTCCCTGCTGATGCACCTGGGAAGGCAAGGACAGATGACTTAAGTGCTTGTGACTCTGCCACACATGTCAGAGAACCAGATGAAGTTCTGGGTTACTGGCTTTGGTCTGGCTTACAGTGGACCCACTGTGGCTATTTGGGGAGTGAAGCACTCTTGCTTGTGCTCTCTCCCTCTCCCTGTATGTGTGTGTTTTCATCTTTGTCACTCTAACGAAGGAAGGAAGGAAGGAAGGAAGGAAGGAAGGAAGGAAGGAAGGAAAGAAGGAAGGAAGGAAGGAAGGAAGGAAGGAAGGAAGGAAGGAAGGAAGGAAAGAAGGAAGGAGGGAGGGAGGGAGGGAGGAAATCTTGAAACAATTAAAAACAAACCTGAGGCCAGTGCTGTGGCGCAGCAGGTAAAGCCACTACCTGCAATGCTGGCATCCCATTTGGGTGCCAGTTCTAATCCTGGCTGCTCCTCTTCCAATCCACATCTCCGCTATGGACTGGGAAAGCAATGGAAGATGGCCCAAGTGCTGGGTCCCTGAACCTGTGTGGGAGACCTGGAAGAAGCTCCTGGCTCCTGGCTTCAGATCAGCCCAGCTCTGGCCATTGAGGTCATTTGGGGCATGAACCAGTGGTTGGAAGACACCCCGCCACCACCTCTGCCTCTGCCTCTCTGTAATTCTACATTTCAAATAAACAAATAAATCTTTAAAAAATAACTTAAAAACTACAGTTTTGTCCATTTAGGTACAAGATATATACAGAATATTTCACCCTACAGTAGGAATATATATATTTTTCTCAAGCACGTAAGAGGATTCTCTAGGGTGATTTGTATATGAGGCTATAAAATAAGTCTTAAAACAAATTTCTAAAGATTGCAGTTCTATCTATTAGTTTCCTAACCACAAAAGAATAAAACTAGGGATCAACACCAGGAAGAATTAAAAAAAATACAAATACATAGAAATTAGAAAACATACTTCTATACAATCAACAAGTCAAAACTAATGCAACAAGTGAAAATAGGTGAGCAATGTACCAAAACTTATAGGATGCAGCAAATGGCTTCTTACAGGAAATTTTA